TGAAAGGTCCGAAGACCCTGAAAACCACCTGTTTAGGCAGGCTGCATCCTGAAGTGGTGAAGGGTGTCCTGAAGTGGTGATGAAAAATACGACTGTTGTTAACCTTCTCTCGCAATAACCAAACATGCCAGTTTACGACACCTCCAGTGACACGCATGTCGAGTTCATTCTCCCATAAATGCCGGACTGCACCTCACAAACCAATGTACAAAAACATCTGGATTCCGATGCATCCATGAACAAGAACTCACAGAGAATGGCTTTCGGTGTTCGATCCCGTACCACATCGGAGTCTAGAAGCATTCAAGCACATAGATATATCACTGACATTCCAAACCACATAGCGCACAAAGATGCAGGTCCTTTCAGATTTGCAGAAATTTTCCTGTCCCCATAGAGTTGTCAGAATTAGCATGGTTAAAACATCATGAAGGGCCCTTCGCATATCTCATGTCCTCCACACTACTTTTTCACACACAATCTACATCTGAATGAGCACCTTGAACCCGCTCAATCTGCGATGTGTGAGGTTCAAATGGGTCACGACAGACGACTGTCGGAGTGTTTCCCTGACTCTGCAGGTGGAGGGGACCAACAGTCCGTGGGTAGGCGATGCAGGAAGCCCATCAAGGAATTCAGCTACCGAAGCTCAAATCGTGAGGTTCCCTGAATCTGCATCTGAATGAGCACCTTGAACCCACTCAGTCTGCGATGTATGAGGTTCAAATGGGTCACAACAGACAACTGTCGAGGTGTTTCCCTGACTCTGCAGGTGGAGGGGACCAACACTCCGTAAGTAAGTGATGCAGGTGCCGGGGGCAAACAAAGACTTGCATGTAGCCCATCAAGGACTTCAGCTACCAAAAGGCAAATCGCGAGGTCCAAAGCCCTCATGCGCCAAAAGTGATCATCACAATTCTCAGACCACTACTTTTCATAAATCAATGGAGGTAATCATCACAGGGCAGGAAAAAGGAATCACGGACATATTATTTTCTTGTTAAATTCTTGTCGTTAATCTCACAACCGGCCGCAACCTCAGCCGAAAGATGGTGATTGGAAGAACTATTCAACAAGAACTATTCAACAAATGTGTCGATGCTTATAAGGATTCTCCATCATAGGCTGCATTCCGGTCAAGGCGGGACTTTGCTTGTAAGGATTCTCCATCATAGGATCCATTCTCCCTGAAGTGCCCAAAGTGATCGTCACAATTCTCAGACCACTACTTTTCATAAATCAATGGAGACGCTCATCACAGGGCAGGAAAAAGGTATTACCGCCATATTATTTAACAGCCAGCCGTACGAGCGGTCTTTAACAGCCTTCCCGCCGGCAGGTGCACCGGCTCATTAGTAACTTCAACATTTCTGCGCTGTCAGAGACTTGGACAATCTGTGCATCATTGGTTTTCATTACAGTGCAATTGACTATCATCATTCAGCACACAGAAAATTCCTTCCATTAAACAATCGACATTTCTCCAATGCTGCAGTGCCTTCTAGGTGAGATTGATATGGTTCCTGCACCCACCCTGTCAGAGACTTACAGTCTGTACATTATTGATCTTCATTACAGTGCAGTTCGCTGTGATTACTCAGCAGGCAATAAATTACCTGATAATGAGAACGGGGCAAGTCTAAAACATTGATAGTCATCACAGCCATGATGACATTGATAGTCATCACAGCCGGCTCAATGCCGTGTGACGAGTCAAACATCCAGTTACACAGCCGACAATGCCAGTAACTGCATCAAGCCCTCTCAAAATGCTTGCGACTCAAATGATCTCAAATCACAGGGTTCCTCATCAAACCTACCCCAATCTCAGTTCGGTATGGATTTCTGCAGGTACACATCGAATGGCTTCCACAAAATTCTTCCACCAAACAAAAAGCCTCAGATCACTGTTTGTCAGCAAATTGGTCATGTGCCAACTCTGCCATATGCTTGTCATGATATTAAACATCACAGGCTAGAAAAACCACCTTAAACTGCATGGCGCTCCGTTCCTTGAGACCTCTACTCGAAACCATTCCAACAAGAACACTGACATTTCTGGGATGATCGAATCATAAATACCTGGCACGAGAATCCATTCCCCTTGGAGACATTCAAACAAATCCTATCATTCCTGAGATGATGTCATCACATACACCTCAAGAAGAAAAATAAACCTCGCAGGCTCGCACAAGAATCTGAAACGCCATTTAACGATTAGTAATCGACTTCATGAAAAATGCATCAGAGATCTCTGACGGAATCACGGCCATACCAGGTACAGCCTTCATACTCTTCCTATCATTTGAATAGCCTCATCACTTGCATTATCCGCCATTGGCCTGCTGTACACGTGCAAGCTGCAACAAGATTCAACCACTCCCGGTAGGTAGACCCATGATAACGATGAGCCACATTCCAGGTCTGACGTCCGAGCCCAATTGTCAATCAATGACATGTCATATGTCCAGCAAGCAAGCAACATAAACTTTATGTACAAGGTAGGGGATAGCCTTTAGTTGTTTTCATCACCACCGCAAGACGTTTCAAACAACCGGCTGTTTCCAACAAAATAGCACTCCATGCAGGTGATAGCCATTCATTTTCTGGAAGACTTTATATACTCCATGCTGATGATAGAGCCTCGTTGAATCAGATTTAAAAAGCTCGAATTGTGAATCCACATAATATTCAGATTTAGATTGTTGTGCTCATCATTTCCAGCAGGCTCCACAAGACTCCGTTGTATTGCCATCAATGTCGACCCTGAAATTTATCCAAACAAAGCACTGCACGAAACCCATAGATGGGTAACAGATCATGAAATTCGTGCAAATAAGACGACTGCTTCAGGTGCTTTTCACAGTCATCAAGTTTCAATTTCCTAACACAATCAGCTTTATTTGCAGACATGAAATGTTGTTCTAGAGAATGCAAAAGACGGATAAGGCTGCCAACCACCCGGCTCGTGCTCGCAGCGGAGCCGGGGAATGTGGAAGTCTTATGAACCTTGCTGGCTCCAAACGGCACAGTCATGGACGAAAACCTAGGGCTGAAAGAAGGGATCATATTCACTGGCCTCAGAACGAGGCACGCTTAAATCAGCATCGATCATTTGGGGAAAGATAGAATCATCACATCCCGCTTACCACCTTACCAGACAAACTTCTCAAAGGACCCATCGCCTCATAATAACAAATGGTGCACACGTGCTTCCTATACAAATTCGCATTTATACCAATAATGTGTACTTCTGATGTCATAAAAAAACCTCGGTTCAAAACCGTTGCTAACTGACCGACAGTGTAGCCCTGGAACCAGCACGACATCCCTGCAACCGTGCAAAGTGAAATGTGCAAGCCCACCAGAAAAAAATAATTCAACATTCGCCGCGGGCAATGGAGGTAAAGGATGCTATATATTTCTAAGCTCTCCTAAATGTGCACTGCATCCTTTTCCCCAACAGGTAATTGCAGCATCCCCACACGCTCCAGTTTATGAAACCCTCCTCGACAAGCTTGTTTTAGTTTCTGATCTTTGCGTAGGAACGTACAGCCACCATAAGGCTGCTCCGGAGCGCAGGGACAGGATGCCGGCCAGGCAAAATTGCATTCAAATCAGAATACCGTACACTTATGCTCTCAAATGCCGCAGTTCACAACATTGCTAACTGACTGTCGACAATAACACCGGCAGTGCATCCCAGCAACCCCGCCATGCAGTCCGTGCAGGCCCACCAGACAGAACGCCAGATGAAAACCTCCAGGTCCGCAAGACTGGGTGCAACGCTGTCTCGTCATCTGTAACATCCTCGAGCAAACGATTCCTACCAACACGAATCCTGACATACTGTCAGGATTGGATGTAGTTGTATTCATCATTTCCAGAAGGTTGGCTGCACTAGTCACTGACTCGTCAGGATGGCATTTCGTTGTATTGCCATCAATTTCGACTCGTCGCGTGCACAAAGATGCTTCACGTGCTTCTCACACTCGCCGGTTTCAATTCCCTAACACGCAGAGATGCTCAGCGGCATGTGCAGATATGCAGAGTTGCTTCAAAGGTTGGATCCAAAACACGGATCAGGCTTCAAACCGGCTCGTGCTTGCCGTGGATGAAGTTACCTTTCCATCTCCAAACAGCAGTGGCAAAGTAATCGACAAAAAGCTGGGAATGAAAGAAGGGATCAGATTCACTGGCTTCAGAACAAGGCATACTTAATCAGCACCGATCATTCGGGGAAAGATAAGATCATCACATCCAAGTTACCACCTTTATCAAAACAAACTCTCGAGGATTTATCGGCTCATTCTTGTTTTTTTCTACCCATCACACGTCCCAACCGTGAAATCATTAAGAGCTCCACGTATGCTTTGTCTATACCACCTCCCACTTCAGTTCCGATACTTCAACCATATACATATCTCATTCAAGTCCCACCTCGTCATACAGCTCAACCAATCATTCGGGGAAAGATAAGATCATCACATCCAAGTTACCACCTTTATCAAAACAAACTCTCGAGGATTTATCGGCTCATTCTTGTTCTTTTCTACCCATCACACGTCCCAACCGTGAAATCATTAATCTACATTATGCTCATCTATACCACTTCCCACTTCAGTTCCAATACTTCAACCATATACATATCTCTTCACCTCGTCATACAGATCAACAATCACATCTACTCTCACAGGCGATTGTGAGTTGTATGGTCTTCCCCAACAGGTAATTCCAATTGCAGCACCTCCACACGCTCCGGGTCATGAAATATGCAGCCCTTCAGCTTGGAGAAAATGTCCTCCTCGACAAACTTATTTAATTTCTGATCTTCGCGCAGGAACATACAGCATACATGGAGCTGCTCCATAGCGCAGGTAGAGGATGCCGGCCAGGCATCACTGCTCCCGATCAGTCCACTTCTCTGCAGTTGAGATAAGATCAAGTACTTACGGATTGGCATTCACACACCACCCCTCAATATTCAAAATCTGTATTACCCCCAGCATGTTGTAATTCTAACTCAATTCGTGAATACAAGTTCAAAAGACTTCTGGCCAGCATGGCATTCACATGCAGACTTGATGCATGGAGCATTGCAGCAATTCCCACCACAGTCTCATCATGCCACAATGTCGATAGCATGTCTGTAATTTCAGAGCGACCTAACTTGGCATCCATCAAGATCAGCAACCGACTGATCTCTCTGCTCATTCCAGAAAAAATATACTCGCTCCACATACTAATGAGAACAGACCATAAGGGGTCAGAAGTTGCAAAACTCTCATTCACAGCCCCAGTGGGACCATGTAAGAAGGTGTCCTAAGATTTGAAATGTACATTCTTCATCATTCCCCTGAAATCAAGCAAACAGGAGACTGAACCTACAGCAGCTGACTCATTTGGGAGTGGCACTCACAGTACAATGGCAGCGTAACACTGGAATGCAAAAGGGAGGGATCAGATTCACTGGCTTCAGAACGAGGCACTGGCTTGAATCAGCGTCGATCATTCGGGGAAAGATGGAAATCATCATCTCCCAAGTATTCTATTCAGGGTATAATACTGACTATCAGACATCCCAACCATTTCAACTCTGGAATTCTTCCACATGCTTCCAAAAGACAGACATGAGAAAGGATGTAGCCTCCAGCGGACATATCAGCTAAGAAGTTCGAACCAGCGCGACCCAGCCAATAATAAAAAGACACATAACATCCTCAAGCAGAACAATTTTGTAGATACAAAAAAACACCGAATTTGGTAAGTGAGATAGAAAAAATGAAAAACCGGCAAAGGCTAACAAGTTCTCAAAAACCCTTTCCTGAAATGTGCATTGCATGGCCTGCCCCAACAGGTAAATGCAGCATCGCCACACCCTCCGGATTATGAAATATGCAGAGCTCTGCTTGGAGGAGAAACCCTCCTCGACAACCTTGTTTAGTTTCTGCTCTTTGTGTAGGAACATACAGCCACCATAATGCTGCTCCGGAACACAGGGATAGGACGCCAGCGATCATTCTAGGGATCTAGACCTTAAAATGGAGTTCAAAATTCAAATCATAATACCGTGCAATTTTGTTTGAGAACTTTCGAAGATGTATGGAAAACTCGTTAGTCTTTGCCGGTTTTTCTTTTTTTCTATCTCATTTACCAAGTTCCGTGTTTTTTCGTATCTACAAAATTGTTCTTCTCGAGTATGTTATGTGCCTTTTTACCCTCGAGCAAACGATTCCTATCAGTGCCTTACTCGTTTTCCTTAATGTCAAAACGAGTCCATACACGATTACGGACGTTCAAAGGTATACACAGACTATTACCATAACCCAGCAGCTCGTCAACAGATTTCCATCAGCTCTGCGGTCGAAGAATACCTAATGGCAAGAACCCAACTAGTCCCGATTCAAGTCCCTTACATGTATAAATGGTCACCCTTAAATGCAAATCTTCCCAGCATGTATAAAAGGTCACCCTTCAATGATCAGGAGAATTTTGAGACTGATAGTGTACAAATGGTCATCCTTTGTCTGTCTATGCCCATCTATTTTCCCATTCATCAGTTCCTCTATCCATCTGTCCGCCTGTCTGTCTTACTCCGTTTTTTGCTCTCTGAGACAACCGTCCAGAGCAAAAGAGAGAGAAAGACACAGACACGGACAGACAGCAGAATAAGAGGGAGATGGGGAGGGCGGATCCCCTTCTCAAAAAAGATCAAAACATGCAACAACAAACAATTGTCTATTGGAAACAAATGGTGTTCGGTTCCCCTCCGCGTCCAAGCAGCGTTAAAGGACGAGTCAGCCACCAAAAACAATACATGGCGGGCTACATGGCGGTGAAGACCATCGCCTGACTGTGGGTTTCACAAATCCACAGATTTGGATACCGTCGTCCATCTCCCCCAAACACAATGCTCCCTCGTCATTAGCGTATTGCACCACAAAGAGTTCCTAGAATAATATTATCAAACAATAGACATCTCCTAATGCACTCATGATCCAGAACATTGTCAAACACATTGATGGAGACTGTACGGACAGAAACTATAGCTTGAAACATGCACGACGTGGATGCACTTAGCGCTCGCAGCCATCGTCAAATATATATAAACAGAACAAAGGGACAAAGACAGAAGAGGAGAGAGAAACAAAGTCAGAAACAAAGAGAGAAACGAAGAGAGAAACAAAGAGAGAGAGAGGTACCCTTAGAACAAAAACTGACCTCCACGACATGACGCATCCCGCTCAAGTCCACACTCCGGCTGCCCTGCCGCTTGCTGCAAACACCAACATCCTCACAGCAACAACATCAATGCAATGATGCCGCCTTCCGGCCGCCCGCTGCAAACACCAACATCCTCATACATTGTTGCTCTTATCTTACCGCTTCGTCCTTACACACATTGCATCTAACTTGCCAAGCTGTATCCACACCGCTTTCTCACAATCCCATGCAGAGTGGTTTGCTCTCTGCCCAACCCAAACCACACGTTGAACGGTATCGCAGCTTCACTCTCTGCCTGCCAACAAAGGCTCCTGAAAAAACAACTTCAATCATCCTACAGCATAATAAACCTGCGAAACGAGCATTCAGTCACCCTCGTACGATGTTTCGTTTCTTTTTTGGGATAATCTGCAAAATTCCCTATCAAGTTATATACGACAAAATGATCCTAAAACATGTGGTTAGAGAGGAACATCCTCTTGCGCCTAATTCCATACGTTTTGCCCCTGTCAGGCGCATGCACAAATTTGCAATCTGGACCATGTCGTTGGGGCCTGAGCCTGCACCCAGTACCCGGTTTGCCCCCCATACCGGGTGGAACCTTTGCGCAACCCAACAATTCCAATCGTAACATAACCCTGATAAACCCTCGGAACGAGGGAAATCTCTCTCTCTCTCTCTCTCTCTCTGATCATAACATAACAATTTCAACCCTGATCACATATTGTTATTCAGTAACCAAAATCGTCAGGAGAGTAATACTGGAGGGTAACACAGTGTAGCCATGGAACAGACAGTCACATTAAAAGCGACAAGAGTCACAAGACTACAATAATGTGCACTTCTGATTTCATAAAAAAAATCCTTCATTTCATAACATTGCTAACTGACCTACAGTGCAGCCATGGAACAGGCAGTGCAAGCCTGAAACCACGCCGAGGAGACCTTGCATATGCCCACCAGACAAAATAAGAAACCAGCCCAGGCAAGGGAAATAAAGCATGTTATACATTTCAAAGCTCTCCTAAATGTGCACTGCATGGTCTGCCCCAACAGGTAATTGCAGCATACCCACACCCTCTGGATTATGAAATATGCAGAGCTCTGCTTGGAGGAGAAACCCTCCTCGACAAGCTTGTTCAGTTTCTCATCTTTGCGTAGGAACATACAGCCACCATAAGGCTGCTCCGGAACGCAGAGACAGGATGCCGGCCAGGCTGCCCTTCCCCCGATCATTCTAGATATCACGATTTTAAATTGCATTCAAGTCATAATACTGTACAATTCTGCTCTCAGACAACTGCCTCAGTTCACAACATTGCTAACTGACTGTCGACGATAACCCCGGCAGTGCAGCCCAGCATCCCCGCCAAGCAGTCCGTGCAGGCCAACCAGACAGAACGCCCGATGAGAACCTCCACATCAGCAAGACGGGGTGCAACGCTCTGTCTCGTCATCTGTATCATCCTTGAGCAAATGGTTACTATTCAACAAAAGAAATAAATGGAACCACCACCTACAACCATTTCACGCCGTTTTATTCCACATGATCCTTCGACACCAGGGAAGGACATGGACATTAGGGAAAGATTAGAAAACGGGTTTTCAGTCATTTTCGTGAGCTTCCATTCAAAAAGGACATGTCCGCTCAGATTCCATTCAAAGAGGACGAATGTCCGCCAACATTAACAATCAGACAGTAAAACCATCAAAGCAATCGGATTATTAACGAGTCATAACGACCTATTACGAATGAAATCGCCTCCACTTCGTATTCACCACTATACATATCACCATAACATATCTATATTCCAATGACATCGTATCGCACAACAAACAAGCGTTCTACTTCCGTCGTAAGGGGATGGTGTCCAGTTTCAATCGAGCACAGTCACAGACCAAACAAGCACACCAACCAAGGAGGTGACAAAGCAGCACTAACCTGACAATCCGGCCTCGCAACCCCGCAGCTGGCCCTTCACAACTGTTTAGCTTAAATTATTTTGAAACGTATTGAGAGACCTGCAACTTGACATGCTGCCTGCAGGTAAACCCCAAGCATGGTATGTGGGGCTTTCCGAGCAAAACATAGAACATACAGGGAAAACATAAGAGCACAAATCTCACCTAACTACCAGTAAGCGATACGTTTTGAGCCAAGCCATACTTCCAACCTCCTATGCATGCCGTCGATTTCCTCCATCACAGTGGGTCACACTCTGAAGTGCCTATGACAGAGGTGCACATTTACTTCCTTGGCAGTACAGATGACCGGTTAACACAGCCAAAGAGCAGAGCTTCGGACTTTCTGCGGACTCCCCATTCTGGATACGCTCGAGAGATAGCCCCACATACCATGCTTTTCTCTCTCTACGATGGAGCCCAATATAGATTCCACTTCGCATGGCAACCCGATGAGCCCAATATAGATTCCACTTCGCATGGCAATTAATGGTCAGACCACGAATGTCGCTTTTCTGTCGCTTTTCTGGGTGGCGCCCCCCATTCACTATTCGCCTCATCGGCAGACGGGGGAATTATCACCAGAGAAATCACCAATTTTGGGCACCTTGTGTCCCTCCTGACAGTGAGATAACTCCAGGAAAGCTTTGATAGGCCCACATAATTGCAAAAATGTTGTCCAATCCACTTTTGTCAACTGAAACGAACTCACAAAGAGGGTTTACAGAGCAGCAAGCCTACAGACTGTTGGCATGCAGCAGATCCAAGATGTGAAACACCTCAGGATCCCAAATTCGCAGTTAACGAGTTTCGGATCTCCGGAAAATATTCACGTCAGCACCAGGATTGCAATAAAGTCTGCGAGTAAGACAATCTTGCATACGTTTCTTAGCTTCACAGCTAAACTTCCACATAACCAAGTTGATCAAATCTGCGGGGTAAGTCAGCATAGGGAGTAAACCCTCTGTCCTGTTGAGCTTGAAGAAACGAGTTTTCATCATAGCAACCATGCAGTGAAAGGCATTCCACCCCATCCGTTCAAACCAACAGGCTGCTTGGCTGACTCGTTTCTTCCTGATTGCCCCTTACAAGTGCCTTCATGATATGTCAGATCGTCATCACACAACAAGTCGACCTGAAATTGTAGACAGCCAGTAACGCATTAATGCTGCGTACATACTAACAAGGTTTAACTGCTGCTTTTATGTGCTGTGAGGGAGGTCGCAACTTGCTAGCCAACAAAGCACAACCAACAAGGTAATATCTGCCTCCTTTCCTTTGTGGATTCAGCACAGTGATTCTCCTCCCTCCAGTCTGGCGAAGTCACAACAAGGACTGAATCCAACCCCGACAAATCCTTCACAACTCCTGTGTTCATATTTCCTATGTTCGAAGTTAGCCAGAAATGCAAGACAGCCTGTGATGAGTTTCCCGCTGCGTACATACTTCAGAGCATACACGAGAGCGTTCATTGTTCCTATCCTCTGCTGTGAGCCAGGTAGCGACTTGCTAGCCAATATGGAGCAACCAACAAGGCAATATCTGCCTATGTCCGGATGCGTACATACTTCAGAGCATACACGAGAGCTTTCACTGTTCCTATCGTCTGCTGTGAGGAAGGTAGCGATTTGCTAGCCAACAGGGAGCAACCAACAAGGCAATATCTGCCTACTTCTGTCTGGATGAGCCTCCTTCCTTCAGAGTGGACAAGTCCCAACAGCGCCTGAATTCAACTCCGGCGGTCTGTTGTTTGTCATACATGAAATTATGTACTTCTTTAGATAGTTGTTTTTTGGAAGCAGTTCGTTGCTGCACCCGTTGGCATCGACAACCTGCTCCCAAATGGTTTCAACATTTCAAACACATGAAAATATATCGCTGGGCCGAGACCCACAAAGTCACAACGTTCTCCTTCGCAGGTGAGTAAACCCGATCATATATCGCTTTCGCTAGGATACAAATTGCACACAGCACACATAGTCAGTGCTGGGCAGAGTGTTTCCTTGCGTAGCCATTAATTAAGCAGACAACAAAATTGTAAAAAGCCTGAAGCAGTTGTGCGAGGAGAAGGCCTATTATTTTCTATGGAGAAAGACCTCAGTAAGAAAAATAAATGCAAAGAAGCCAAGGTGGGTGGCAATATACTACCTGAGGAGCCCATAAACTCTTCCTTGCGAGCATTCCAACTGAAAGAATTCTAGCACCCACTGACACAATACCTGGAACAAACCTCAGGAAAAAAAATAGAGTGTTCGACATTCAAGAATCACAGAGTAGAATCAAATGACAACGACTTATCATCGAACTATTTCCACAGCACACACAGAACGTCACAGCAAATTACAGCGCCTCTTAAACCAACACTACCTTTCCCGCTGTTGGAAAAGGGGGAAAATGTCCTGCTACTTAATGGAGCAGCTCAAACATATATCCTGCTTCTTAGTGGTGGCTTAAGAAAAAGAAGTGCACAAAAATCTTCCACCGTCGTTTTGCAACGACATATTACCATCAACAAACCAACACACGACTCTAACCCCGACCTCAGCTCAAACATAAACTTGTAGCATCCCAGAGCACGCAGGCTTGTCCAAATTCACAGAGCCTGCTTAGCTATTGAACTCTGCAATTCTCAGTGTAAGTCGGTTTCATTAACATCAGACGTAAATTACCCATTAATACTGAAATCATCATCAGCATCTAACAGTCGAATTAAGAATTCGGAAGTGAATGTGAGTTATGCTAACCGATGGGCTTCACATAGTGAAAAAGCAACGAGCCCACATCCCAGCGTTGTTAGCTAAGGAGAGGGAAATACGATTGACCTGCTCAGCTGAAGAGATTCAATCATTAACCCCTTTGTGCTTCATGATTGTTCAGAAGCGCGGGTTGTCCTTCATCATTGCAGCCTTCAGTACATCGGAAAAGCATGTCCAAAGAGCCGAGCTTACTACTACAACTGCCGAGGAGAGACGTGTTGGTAATCAAATACCAATCAGGCTAGCGCAGATGAATAGCAATCAAATGTCGATTGCTTTCCAAAATTTCACAGGATATAATCTTTGACCGCAGTTTCCAGGAGGTCATGGGTTC